CCTCCCAGCTGATACCTAGCTGTTGTGGGTGCTAGATGTCTGGAATGATGTTGCGGTAAAGTTGCAAAGAGCTTTCGAAGATATCTTAGTCAGGTATAAGAATGTTTTTGCAAGCATGCTGTAAGGTCGGTTGAAAAAAAATCGTATTAAATTGAAACAAGCTCAATATCAGTTAGCTAGGAAGGTCTATATTCATGAACAGGATTCAGGTGAGTCAGGAGGTTGCTCTAGACTAGAGGGGTACTCCAAAATCATCACAAGGGGATCAGATCAGGGGCTTGTAACCTCAGGCACACATATCAGCATTTACACATTGAAGGAAGGCAGGCCTTCCAGCATCAGTCAAACCTCTGCAACTGATCCAGATGCTGCAGCAAGAGTGGTCTTTAAAGCTAGCCCTATATGTAAACTCACTACTTTAGATCTATGTATCCCGTGCAGAAGCTTGTGTTCGGCAAGTGAATGGCGCCTTGTGGTGCCATCATCCCAGAAAGACAAAAAAAAACAAAAAAAAACAACAAAAAAAAAACACTTTCACTGACCTTTACCTGGACTGTTTCTTGCTGGTGGAATGGACGACGCAACAACACATATACAAGAAACTGCTAAGGGTCAATCTTTTTCATAAACACTTGACCCAATAATACTAAACCTTTGCTTAAAAAACCTTTGCTTGTCACTGCACTTGTTGCTTCAATTGTTATCTTAATTGGTAAGTCACTTTGCATAAAATGTAATTGTAAATGTTTGAAATAATAAGTTATATTAAAGTATAAAGGTATACAGCGATTGCCTTTTAATGTAGATATTTTTACATGTTCTAAATTATATACTAAGCTTATATTTTCTATCAATCACTTATCTTTCTGTTCAGTGTTTATGTTCCATTAATACTGTAAATGTGCAGGCATTCTGTACTCATAGATTTAGTTAATTTAACAGAAATTGACTGTACATTTTCTATTATTAAGTACTTAATTAGAGATTGGTCAAATATATGAAATTGGATCTGTAAATATCTGTTTTTCAAAAAAAACAAAACAAATTTTTCAGTAAAACAATTTAAGTTTTTTTTTTTTTTACTGTAATTTGATGGTAAGTGGGTGGCAACTTTGCTGCCAGACTTATTACCATTATTTTTTTATTATTATTATTATTATTTTTTTTTTTTTTACAGTGTGCAGCTGAAACAAATTTGCCATCTCTTGAGATGGCGAACGGAACTTTTAGCTCAGTTAATAACTTCCCTCACAATATGGTCTATATTGAGTCTATATTATAAAATGTGTCAGTGACTGGTTATAATCCAGTGGTTGCCCATCACTAGTTGTCGTGACAAGACGGGGAGGAGCAGCAATGCGGATTACAGAGGTACAGTGTGTATGTGTGTGAGAGCTGTTTGGGTATCTATTAGGATTACAGAAGCAAGACGTGTGTGACTCTAGAGGATATCATTTTGTCAGAGTTCTGCTATGGGGTCACCCCTCCTTGGAGCCATCTGCTTCCTCCTGCCTGTTAGTCTCAGGGCAGTGAAGCTCAGAACTCAAACAGGCCCCGGGGGACAAACACACACACATAAATACACCGAAAATAACTAGACACTGGTGGTTAGGAACCAGGAAGTGATTCCTGAGTGCCAATTTGGTGGCGAAAATGGGAATTTAACCCCAAGCTTTTACTGTGCAGCCAAGTGCATCCCTGCTGGAACCAATCTGATGATTAGGTTTGTGTAGCCGACCTGGAGTTTGCATGAATCCCATTTCATGTAAGGCATTTTAAATGCATGCTTAAAGGGATAGTTCACCTAAAAAATAAAATTCTGTCAGCATTCACTCATCCTCATGTAGCCTGTATTACTTGCTTTCTTGGAACACACAAGAAAATATTCTGAAGGAAATCAATATTGTTTTGACCCCATAGACTTTCATAGACTTTCAAAGTCTTCCAAATATCTTCTTGTGTTCTATAGAAGAAAGCAAGACATTTAGGTTTTAAAGGGTAATTCCACCGGTGGAGACATGAATATGCATTGAAAGTGGGTCAAATATGTAGTATAATAGTATCATAAAATGTCTAATTTGGGTCCTTCTTGGCTGATAAAAGGCAGAAAATGACTTTTTAGTGCTTGTGGATTGTAGACAACAATCCCCATAGTGCATTGCAATGCTCAGCTCCGCAGGCCACTCCCACAACTACGCCCATCAATGTAGACTAGAGTTAGACTCCACTGTACGCTACCGCCTGGAAATCATTTCGCACAATGAAATCAGATAATGCGCGCTAAAATAATATGACGACGTAAGAGCGTCAATGGATAGGCAAGATTCAGAAAATCGGCATACTCTGACGCGCAATTTTACACGTGAAATGCAGCCAAACCTTGGAGCGCTTTGTCTTCGGCATCTTCATTAATCCCCTCGCTATCAGACGTTCCAGGAGTCTCACGCATATTGATAATCGCTCCGTGATGCCCCAAATTAAAATTAAATTAAAATCTCCCGGAATCTAGAGCGAGTGAGCAAGAGCGTGCATCCGAGATGGATCAGACTGTGCTCCAAACCGTATAGTGTGTGCACGAGGGAGACCCAGAGACTCAGGTCTCAGGTCAAACAAAAAAATGTTTGTTCTTATTCGGCCTGGTTATTACCGTTTACGTAGGAACCGGTTCCCTATTGGCACCGTGTTTCGGTACCCAACCCTATCCATAATGCATCCATTCTGTACCTTCGTCCATATTTTCAAAAACTTTCTTTTGGTGAAATCAAACGCACTGGCACTGATCTGTGATAGATCTGTTAGCACATTAGGTCCAACCCCCTATGGGCGGCTTTGAGAGGGTGGGAACTAGTGCTTGTAGTCCTTACAGAAATTCCTGCCTTACACTTCCTCACACAATGATGTAAAATGACGATTTTTGCGTCATTGTAGGAGGAAGTGAAAAGGGTACATAGCGGATTTCTCTCGTCTCAGGGGAAAATGAGAGAGTGTTGCACGGCCATTCAATAGTATGACTGGATTTCTAACAATGGAAATCTTACAACGCAAATGGGTGGACTGTCCCTTTAAACAACATGAGGCTGATTAAATAATGACAGAACATTAATTTTTGGTTGAACTATCTCTTGAGAGTAAACGTTAAATCTCAAACTATTTCAGTTTTTGTATTATCATTCCGAGCCAAATCCTTATAACAGGATTTTTCAGTCACAACAACTAGAACAAGAGAGCAGCACACATACAGTCCAATCATTGTATTCAAGCCTAAAGTTCCGTTCCAGATGACTGCTCTGAAATTTCCTATTCACTGGGTGAGATTTTGCTATTCATTGTAAACCCGCTGTGGTGGGCAACAATGAGGCAGAATGAGTCAGAGTATTAGATGGTCGCAGAGTCAAAGTCACAAGGCAAAAGAGTCGGAGAATGGGCTATCCGCTGAATACAGCAATAAAAGACTGAGAAGCCACACTTCTCACATTGCAGAAAATCCCACTTACTGTATGTTGAATACTGTATGTGGTACCAGAGATGAAGAGAAGAGAAAATGGATTTATAAAAAATGCACAAGCATTTGACTGAACTAAACTACCCAGAACCCGTCTCGTTTGGCATTCACCCCATCAGAGTGTAAAAAAAAATGCTCACCTGACCTTTCACAAAGTTGGTATGAGCCTTTCCAGTGGCACGTTTCCAGACCTGCAGGGCTCAGCTCTATACCAGATCTTCCACAATACAGAGAGAACCTCCGAGATAAACAGTATGATGCAATTTGACTGAATACCACTCCAAGTGATTCTCTGTGGCCATCAATGACCTTTGTATGAAAATGCAGACTCCAGGACAAAAGGGAAGGATAGAGAGAAATCTAGAATGGGAGTGCTTACACTGTTGTTTCTGCTCAGAGGGCAGCAGCAGGGAAGAGAAAGAGGGAAAGAGTGACTGGATAATGGCCCTGCTCAAATAATGTGAGGGCATGTCAGTTTTAGTCTGAGCTGTCTGAGTGTTTGACCAGAAAAACAACCTTTTGCTTCATTTTATGCCAAAAATCCAACATAGATTCCGCTTAAGGGTGGATGGTATGACCACAGTCTTATATCAAACAAGTTTTACATCACGGAAATAGTCTCATGCTTTAGCTATTCGTGCAAAAAATTCAACCCCAAAATTAATTAAAGATGCAAATTAAAGTTGCAATTACTAGAAATATTTAGCAATTGTGAGATTATTATGAGAAATAAGAAAAAAGTAAATAAAAAATAAGTCAAATTTTGAGATATATTAAATTAACAATTACTACAAGTCACAATTATGAAATAAAATCATATTATAGAAGTATTATAGTGATACAGTAACAAATAAGGAGAAATAGAACCAATATTGTACGATAAAAAGTCTTTTAAATTTTTAAATAAAGCCGTAATGTTGAATATGAAATAGTCGAATTGGGAGATATAGTCATATTGTAAATTGAATAAATGCTTTTTTGAGATGTAAAGTCAGAATTATGAGATATAAAAATTCAAATCTTCAAAACGTGTCTATTTGAGAATCTAGTAACATCAATACTTTAAAAACCAAACGGACTTCATTTGAGGATGTTGCAAGCATCACCTTTTATAAAAGAGGATAAAAATGTTCCCATTTATACTGTGGTAAACGGCATAGCAGAATCTCTACCAGCTGCTACCGATATACTGTATATAAAACAAAGGGCTAATGTAGTAAACTGGATCCATGCAGATCTGAATCTCAGATGCCCGTCAATCACGTTTCCTTAACAGCGGACACAATCCAGCTAGCGTGGATTACATCAGATCTGACAGGTCGATTCACGTTTGTTAGTTCTGCTGATCTCGAACTGATGCTGCATCTCTGTAAACTGCTGTGTCTACAATTGATTTTGTCTGCCATAACGAAGAGAGGAAATACGAACTGGCGTGTCCATGATGACAGGCAGGAAACCTGAATCACTGTAAAAAGAAAGAGACGAATTCAAAACTCACTGTTTTCCTTTCAGGAGAAGAGCAGTGGTGGAAACGCTTTAGCTCTCACTGATGTCCACGAAGGTAGAACGCGACACCCACAAAGAAGAAAGATATTTTCGGTTTAGATCCTGTGAGAGAGACAGAAGAAAAAAGAAGCAGACATAAATATATTTGGATCTGGCTGTGTTGGAGATTTGTAGACTAATAACCGCTGGTTTGTAGGTGACTCATGTTGGCAGGAAATGTGAACCGGCCAGTGACCCGTGACAGAGGAAGATTCAGAACTCACCACTGCTCGAGAAAAAAAAAAAAACAATCCCTCTCATGCTCGTGTTTTAAAAACACTCTCTCATAAACACACACACACGGCATAACTCTAAACAGGACCAGATGTTTCTGCTTGGGAGCTGAACTCCCATCTGCACGCGGAAAAGAGAAAAGCAAGAGCAACTTTCCATTCATTAACCCACTTCTGTCAAAAAAATGGCAGGAAAATCATGGTGGCAATTTGTGTTTAACACACATAACGTACTGCAACTCTGCATTTATATATGCATCTATCTATCCATCCATTAACCACATGCGGTTCCTTCAATAGGGGAACATTCAACTTTAATAGAGGGTTCATATACAGCGGTGCAGCACTAAAATAGAAAATAGTGCAATTCGGGAGATTGCAAATCACAGATTCAATTAACCGGCTGTGGAATTCCATATTCCTGGATCTTTTAAAACCCCCGGTGAGGTTGGGGGCGACTGGTTGGATTTCCCGGAACACATTCGTGCAAGGCTATCACATTCTGACCGCAGTTAGCCCTGTGAACCGCTAGTGAGTTATCGCATGTGGCTCAGGCATTTAGCCCTCTAACCCCTCTCTTTCCATCACTTCTCCCCCATATGTCCCACCCGGGGGGTGGGGGGTTGAGGGGTGAGCGAGGGGGGAGCAGTCATTGCTCACAAGCCAGAAACTTGTGTCTGAAATCAACCATTTATATTATGCTACAGAGGACATGGTGAACAAAACAAACCAAGGTAAAAATGCACACAGATCTCTTGTCCAGAAAATAAAAACATCGATATCAAGCTTTCTGCACATATGTGGCACTGGAAATCTGTTACATTTTGGATGGACTTTTCTGATTCATTTGGTTTACATTAAAGGGTTAGTTCACCCAAAAATGAAAATTCTTTCATTAATTATCAACCCACATGTCATTCCAAACCAAACCCGTGAGAAAGATATTTTTGATGAAATCCGAGAGGTTTCAGAACCAGCTATAGTCATTGCAACTTTCAAGGCCCAGAAAGGTAGTAACGACATTGACTACGTTTACATGCAGCCAATTTTCGGGTTATGGTCGGGTTAAGGTCACTATTCGAGTTTCTGAAACATTAGGAATAACCCGTTTACATGTGTGAGCAGAGAGAGTTTCTCCTGTATACTGAATTGCAATATTCCGATGTAAACGGCGACGCACGGTTAGCGTTTAGACGTACGGACAACCTTAAGACGCAATATGCGTCATTTCCGATTCTTCGTCCTGTATACAAAGACAACAACAGCACGTGGATAATGAATAGTTCGGGGCAGATAGCGATCGCCTTTGTTTGCGCTTTGATGCTGGTAACGTTACTGACCTTGCTCCAAAAGTATGCTGTGCTGTGTCTCGCCATGTTTACTTCCGGTATACTGCACGCGGATTTTTGTATGCACTGAGAAGTTTCTGTACTCAAAAGACCAAGATTCCTTGCGAATAGAACATTCGCACAACACAAATCACTATGGGGATATGCCGATACGCGTTTACATGAGCACAAATTCAGGTTAGAAAAGGGGTACCCCAGGTATAATATCCCGGTTTTTAAAATCCGGGATATGAGCATATTCTGGTTTTTGCCGGTGTTTACATGGCCGTTTGCGACCGGGTTATTGCTAATATCCCGGTTTTGAACGGGTTATTGGCTGCATGTAAACGTAGTCATTGTTAAAATAGTCCATGTGACTACAGTGGTGCAACCTTAATGTTATGAAGCGGCGAGAATACTTTTGTGCACAAAACGCTACGTCAAAAATAACGTCTGGGTTTGGTTCTCGCAGAGCATCTGTGCCAATGGCGGTCTAGAACAAATATTGCCTGACATGTTATCATACCCAGTGCTAAGGCTAAAAGTGAACCTCTATGCTACACACTGCATACACATTAGCTACATAAATACATACTATTAAACGAACAGAAGTTAGCATCATAGCTAGTATTGCATATTTTAACACGGCTAGAACACTGTATTGCTCAATCAGTGGTGTGAATTGACGGGGAAGTTACAAGTCATTCATAATTACTACGGTTATTTTTCAGCTTCTGTCAAAGCTGAACTGGATTTATACACACACACACTTACTGTATCCTGTGTTTACGCCTCACACTGTGGAGGGTACAACCGTAGTTCATTCTTGTTTGGCCCGGTTGATGTCATTGGCTCTGTGAATAAGCCAATCCATCAAACACAGTTCATTTGAAATTAAGCTAATGTAACTCTCCAAGCATGAAGTTACACTGCAATAAAATCAATACAGACTGTGGTTGGAGTATTTCAGTTTTGAAATATGAACTCAAGCATAAAAAAGGACAACATTGTAGAAACTCTATAATGCCAGTACATCTCATTTTGGCTAAATTGCACTTTTTATCTCAGTATTTGTGTGTGTGCTGTGATTTACTGGCAGTCTACTGGTTCCAGCATTCTCTCCATTCAGTGATCTAATGGTCATGACAGTATTCGAGCTGTACTGCATCTCGAAAGAATCCAATTCCATCAGATCCACCCAAAGTCTATTACTATACGTATTTCTCAAGAGCTCTCTCTTTATTGTGACATATTTTCACCTGTTATAGCTTATGCAAAGGGTAGTCTTAAAGGGACAATTCACTTAAAAATCATAATTCTACCATAATAGAAAGAACACCTCATGTCGTTTTAAATCTATATGACATTCTGCATAAATAATGAGATTTCAAAATTTTGTGTAAACTGTACCTTTAAATCACCTCTGGGTCAGACTACTAATCCAGTAAATTGTGTGTTTGTGTGTTTGCAATAAAAATAAATCTCAGCTGAGTGTCAGCTGTTTATGTTCTATAATGTGATTAGTGTCCTGAAAGTGGGCTAGTCTACACACACAGAGTTGCCGTTGTTGTTGTTGTTGCAAATGCACACAGAGACACTGCTGACCAAAATTAGGTTTAGGATTAGATGAAGGTTTGGGATCATATTCTATTTAGGCAAAATGTGATTTAGATGTTTAGGGTTGAGATTAGGTTATGATTACTTAATTTTGGAGATCTGTATTCATTAGGTTTATGATTATTGGTTAGATTTAGGGTTGAGGACATTGAGGATAGACTGTATGTACACATACAACCCCAAAAGGTTTTCACAGCTGTAAGCCATAATCATCAGAATATAAATAATATATAAAAACATTGCGTGTCCACAATAAACTCATCCCCATCATCAGTTAGAGGGCTATAGGTTACGTTTTAAAATGTACTGAACATTTTGGGATTAGAGCCTTGAGCCGAAAACCATTGATTTTAATAAATCAAGGCTGGCTAATGTAACCTCTACATTTGTGTGACATTTGGAAACACTTATTAAATTTCTTTCTCTTAAAGGAACAATTCACACACAAAATTCGCCATATGATAGCTTTGTGTTACAAACAGACTCTTTCAGAATCATTTCATGCATTGACATGAACTACAAAAGTCAAATGTATTACGAAACATTATTGATATCAATGGTGCCAAATTACATAAATAATTACATTTTTTTAGATTAACTGTTTCTTTAAGAGAAAGGGTATTTGTGGTAAGGGTATGGCTTTAGATGACTGAAAATATAGGGCAAAAATAGTGCACAGGTTATGTGGACCACTTCCTTTGACTTTCATTATATGGAAAACATCCACTGTTATATTCTTCAACATTTCCTAAGGTAAATGACAGAATCTTCATTTTTTGGGTTGTTTAACTGTTCCTATAAACATAAAACACACATACACACTGCTTTCTTTTTGCTGCTACACAAAACCATTTTTACCACAGTGCATGCGTCCCACTTACATGTTTTTTTCACTCTTTACTTAATACAGCCCATCTCTTTTTTTCATTTCCCCCCTCTGTTTGGTGATGAATTGTCCCTGGTCTCCAGGAATGGATCTGTTAATAATTCAGACCAGACTCTGGCATTGACCATTAGAGCCGGGAGGCAGAACTTTCAGCTGATAGATCACTAATCAGATTAATCGCTGTCTTTCAGTGGGGAAATGAAAAGGAGTGAGGGTCCACGCCGCGCATCGTAATATACTGGACCTTCTAACACTTTGCCAGCAAAAGCTTTCAATTACGGCAAGCAACCACCTACAGCTTTAGAGAACATTGCCCTTGATTGAGTATTCACGAAGCGATTCTAACATTAGCCGAAAATATTATCCTACTAGATGTACGTTGCACAAAATGCGCTCGAGTAATTAGTACAACGATGGATGTAGCTAATGCCTGTTCCAGACAAAACATATGAACGCTGCAGTTCAGATAAATTAGGATAAATTATTAATTCCAAACAACCCTAAACATAAACATCCGTTCATTCAACTCATGTCCAACAGGTGTAATTGTAAAGTGTTTTTAGGCTCAAGCAAGTATGTATTTTTGCCAGCTGAGCTCAGGAACGTGGGTCATTTATATCATAGTTTCTCATTTCACCTGAGCTTAACACTGATTTGCCTGAAGAATTGTGTTTTTGTTTCCAGGGATCACATAGAGATGTTGCCAGCAGTAGCAGCTAATGACAAAGTCATGTGTTTGGTGGGGTGATATGTGTGTCCGACTGAGCTGATGCCAGGTGAATTACACAAATTAGGGTTCACCATGGAGTGGAAACACTGATTAGTCACAGTCTGCTGTGAGTCTCCAACACATGCACTGATAATAGATTATATAAACATCTAGCAAGGCTTAAACGCATATAGTTCAACCAAAAAGTGCAAGTTCTGTCACTATTTACTCACCCTCTTGTCATACCCAAACATGACATCAAAAATAAACAAGATAAAAATAGTCCACGT